TTATTCCTCTGTAGTCGCAGGATTTTGCATTTCCCTTGTTGAACTTAATGAGGTTCCTATTGACCTATTTCTGCATCCTGTAAAATCCCTCTGAATAGCGTCACATCCACCTGCTGTATCAACTATTCCTATCAGATTTCTGTTGTCTGAAAGCCTGACAAGGGTGTGTTCTGTTCCATCATTCTAATCACTAACGAAGATGTCAAACAGTACTGCCATGATATTAACCCTAGGTGTATCCCATAGGTGACTTGCCTCCAGATAGACTTTGTGTCACAGATCACAATAACCTGAGCCTGGCATTCAGCCAGTTTTCAATCTGCCTCACTGTTCAATTTCCTAGGCTGTGCTCCCTCACTTTGCCTACAAGAGTGTTTCAGAGGATGGTGCTAAAGTCCTTAGTACAGACAACTTAGAGACCATCTGCTATTCTCCCCTCATCCATCAAGTTGGTCAACTAATGAAAAAAGGCTATTGCCTTTGTAAATTCATGCTGACTATTCACAATCATCCTCTTGTTCTGTGTGTTTGAAAATGGTTTCCAGGATTATTTGCACCATCGCCTAACCAGAGATTGAGTTGAGGTTGACTGGGCTATAGTTTCCCAGATTCCTTGTTCTTCTTGAAATAGTAGTGATGATAGTCTTTCTTCCAGCCTTCAAGAACATTCCCTAATTGCCATGATGTTCCAAAGATTATTCAGTGGCCTTGCAATGACATGAGGTAACACCAGCTTACTTAGTACTCATGGGTACATTTTGTCAAAAACTTGTACATTTCCAGCTTGTTTAAATGTTCCCTGATCTGACCATTCTCTGCTGAGTCCTTGCTTCACTTTCCCTCTGGATTGTGAAAAACCCTAACTAAAAACACTACAGAAACCCCCTGGATTGCTTGTACCTTACTGTATTGTTCAAACAGCAGATACCAGGATGATTTAAGTTCCCCATCAAAACCAGAGTCTGTGATTGAAAGAAGGCTTCATTTAATTCTTCTTCCTGATTAGGAAGTCTATAGGAGACACCCACAATACCATGACATTGTTTGGGCTTCTAATCCTAACCCATAAACTCTCAGCTGGTTCATCACCCATCTCTCAGCAGAGCTCCCTGCACACTCTGCTATCTCTCAGACAAAGAGCTACATCCCTTCCTTTCCATTCAGGCCTGTGCTTCCACAGATTGCAGCGCTCCAGTCATGTGCACTATCCCACCACACCTATGTGATCATGATGAGATCACAACCCTGCAAGCTGCACAACAAACCTCTAAGTCCTTTTGTTTGTTCCCCACGCATTAAAACACAAGCCATTTGGAGAGTCACCCACTTGTGCTGATCTCCCAGAAAAGGTATGAGAGCTTCCCTCAAATGCTCTCCTCTCAATCACACCCTTATACATGTGCATACACTTTGGGTGGCTCCTTCCTGTCCTGTTTTGTTGTCTATGATGTCCTGCCTGTTTCCATCACTCTGCACCCTTTGCTTATCAAATCGTCAACTACTTCCCCACTTGATCATGTATCATCATTTCTCTCTTCCATCGTTAGTGCTAAGTGTTAGTGTACTGAAAAAGCAACAGCTACATGCAAGTTGCACACGCTGTTCTGGAAATCAGGGAAGAAAAGGTTTCCCACATAGAGTCTGACAGTATGAATCAAAAAAATTCTTTTCCTTCAATTACATACCAAGAACAGAAATCCCAGGAAGCATATATGAGTTTGTGATACAAACCATTCAGTGGCATAAGTGCAATAAATTAGGACTGGTTTAAGTCCACTTTTACAACCCATTACATTATCCTCTTTCCTTGATAAGCTCATTTAAAATATTTTAATTAAACTTTAGCATTCAATTAAGCAAATCATGTAAAATCAGATTAAAATCTGGCACAGACATAATGGTGCTATAGCACACATTTATTAAGATACTAAATATAATTCTTAATAAAGATGTGGTTTTCAAATTTCAAATGAGGAATACCAGTAATATTCTTAATGCAGGGAGAAATTAGCCTTAAAAATAGTTATCTAGTCTTGGCGATGATGGGATTATACTAACTATCAACATTAAGTAAAACACTGCTGTCTTAAACTGGCACATTTCACATTCAGAAATTTGGCACCACAACTCTCAATATGAATAACTAGCTAGTGTTTTTAGCTCATGTAAAAATGTTAAAAGAGCACAGTTTCACCCAGGTTACTAATCTGAACCCAGACTACTATCCAGTCACTTTTCTCCATTTAATTTTATTAATTCAGCTTGCTGGTCAATAGCCCTAGGATTAATTTTTCTCTGTTCAATGGAGAAAGAGATACAGACACCCTTTCCAAAGCTGATGCAGACCAGGAATCTTGCTCCCACTCAACCATCCCATCCCATCCCATCCTTTCCTATCCTGCTTGATACATGCTAACATCAGGTTCTTTGAACGCAAAACTAAAATTTGAACTTCAAACTACTAATCAAGTTTGAACTTCAAATTTCTAATTCCTTGACCTTAAAGAAGTAATAGTAATTGAGAGAAAGAATACATTTAACTCAATTTTAGATGTCAGAAAATAAAGCAACCAATCTAAACCAGCCATCTAGGGTTCCTTCAACAATTCATGCTAGAAAAGGACCTGTCTTTGACATTCATCTGAAGATGAGATGAATAACAACATAATAGGTGTTTTCTTCTTTTTAATGATGGTTTAGGCAAGTCAGACAAATAATTAAACAAAAACCTATTTTTTATGTGAATCCCACATAGTCTTTAAGGCTGAAGTTAAACAGAATGAATCTCAAGCCGCAAAAAATTGTTCCTAATACAATTAATCCCCTCCCCAAATTAACTCTTCGTTCTCTTGTAATAAGCAAGTAGCAGAAAGAATTGACTGAGGACTATGTGATAGAGGCTACCAGTACAGACATGGGACTGTAAGAAGCTGACTTTGGCTAAGATCATGAGCAAAATGCCCTCTTTTTTCTTCAACATCCAACTTCCTTCCATTCTGATCTGTCTTGATATCTTATTCCCATGATAAAACATTTTTGCAGGTCTCTAAAGACTTTGACCTTTTTATAGTTATGATAGGAAAACATCAGAAAATGTGTGGACAACTCAAATGGAAAATTTTGAACATGACGTTAATCAGATGGATACAATGTTTTCCAAAATAACATCAAAATTATTTTAAATTTCACTCCACCGCACTTAATGGTTGAAATAGGCTAATTGCAAAGATAGTACATTAGGCATGTCCCACTTATTTTAACAGGTCTTTCAGGGGAGCAGAACCACAGATGGCTTAGAAGAAAGCTATTGCTAGTTATGCTTAATTTATGAATCTGTCAATTTTCTTCTATTTCTACTGAAGGAATGGCACTGTATGTTATTACTATACATTTTGTTTGCTATAGAAGTAATGCCTGAATTTAGAGAAGACTAAAGCAAGCAAGAAGAAAGCGCCTAGTTTCTAAAGTATGGATTCTGTGGACAGCATCAGAAAGGGAAGACATTTGAATTCCAATTACAGTTCACTTTACTGGTCTAGAGTGAAGCTGAACTGGAGTTACCATTGCAGACACTTCGTTTTGTACACTAGGTCAGCTAATCCTGTACCCAAGGTGCTCTGCTACTCATAAGAATGGAAGAGTTTGAGGATTTGACCCTAGGTTTCACCCCTTCCAGGCTCACATGAGGTTACTGGTTCTCCTGGTTCTGATATTCTGGAATCCTGAACTCAAGGAAAATTTCTGATAAATCTGTTAGACATATTTATAGGAAAAAAAACTGATTTTGTTGAATGTGTCAAAGATATTGTGAGAGGTTTAGCTGAGAAAATTCAATATCAAGAAAATATAGGTATTTTGGTATGAATAAACCTTTTTTTAAGAGATAAACATTGAAAAGCTAGGACACAATGAAGTCAGCATTTAAAGACATGAATTGAAATGACTTTAAATACATTTACAGTTCCACTGCAGCATTCTGCTGGACTGTGGATTACTGCAGAGGTCAGGTTATACCTTCACCAATCTGAAACATGACTTTGAACATTCCTTAAAAAGAAAATGAGATGGACCTAGCTCAAATGTAGAGGCCAGTTTCTGAGTTTCCCTAGCATCCCTTCCCATTGCATAAACAGATCAAAAAGTCTGCAGTTGAGCTTCTCAGATATTTAGTCTATCTAGGAGTGTTCTGAGGTGCTAAATGATGCCTTTCAGACTTTTATCAGACTGATTTTCCCATAAGGATGATTTCTTTTAGTTCCTAATCCTTCTTGTGTCTTATAACACTTCAAGTCAAATTTTTGCGAGTTTAGAAATTGGCAGATGTAATCAAAGACTACCAAGCCAATCTTTCAGCTGTTATAGCTGCTGGGAGTTTTGTCATCAAGTTAAATGAAAACAAAAAGTAATCTGTGCATCTAAAAAATGACTAAACACAGAATAGATTAGTATCAAGGATGGAAGATATATTTGATTATTGATAATGCAAATGAATTAATCGACTTTTGAACAAGAGATATCAAAATTACTATATGAATAATTGTTTCAAATATTGGAATTTATCATATACATGAAAATAGCAAAATAAAAGCAGGTAGGTAGGGAAAAATAAATAGATTGAGAGAAAGAGAAACCAAGCTTTTATGAGAAAAAATTATTTAAATTAAAAAATCTAGTAATATTTCTCCTGTAATAGCTTACTGACATATTGATTACACTGATTCTTGGGCAACAATGAGATGATAGCCTGTGGTCAAGTTCAACTTGCCATAAATACTTGCATTAATCTGTTATCTCCTGATGGGAAGTTTGCTTTCAGTTTTAGATGGACAACTGCAAAAATATTGTCATTTTAGGCCAGAAATAGAAGACAGTTAATATGTGCATAACATTTCTCATAAATTCTTATGTTGTGGTTATCTGGTTTCAAGGATTTATGGTTATATTTTGGCACTAAATGAAAGAGGGAGTGTGATATAATTGAAGCTGCATGGAGAACTCACCTGATCCTGCCCCGAGGGCGCTCAGATTGCTCTGACATAAAACTTGTGCTGCTGAGGCGTGAGGCACTGCTGGTTCTGGAAATGGCTGACACATCACTGACATCACTATCTGATGATTTGGCAGAGACGTTATCACAACTTCTGTACTGATCTGTTTGTATATTATACTAGAGATCAAGAAAAGAAAGGGTGAGGAGTCTCATCAAAACATAACACATTTATTGAGACAACAAATGACCTAAGTATGACAATTCTCTCTAAGTGCTTTTAGATCTAAGAAAATTGTATGAAATTCAATGAATTGCCTGCATTAAATAATGCCTTTATGTCTAGTGTAGAAATCAAACATTATTTATGGACTAAAGAAGATACTTGGAATAAAATACAGTATTGGAAATTAAATAAGCTGCTGGTTCATCAATACACTGGAACTACAATAATGAAATATTTATGCAGTGGACAGACATCTCAAGCACATGCATACCATCTATTTGACTACAGACTCTTTTTTAAATTTTTAAAATATTAAAAATATATGCTATGAAATACCTGTACAGAGTTTGTTTGGAACAGAATTGCATATAAGCCTGAACGAAATGTAATGCTACATGAAGCTGATATTGGGAACTGATTTCAGTTCCTAAGTTCTATGAAAAAATTTGAAAAAGTACATTTTCTGTCTCAAAATATCTCTTTGCATTGTGATACTAGAGGACTAGTTAGGTAGAAAGGTAAGTCAGCAAGTATTTGTTTTCAGGCAGATCAGTTCCCTGATCTAGTTGCTTTTACATCCACACATGTTAGAACTAGCAGAAGACTCAGCAGGAGGAATATGTGGACGGAAGTTATTTTACCTTTGCTAACAGTTGAAGCTTGATTAGTTAAAATCAACTGTGACACCACACTGCCTATTAGATAATGCTCTTATTGCTGATAACATCAGTTAGACAGATATAAAAGGAGGCTTAAATCCTAGCAATGCCACACTTACCTAAATTTTCACTCACATATACATGTGGATCAAATAATTGTCAGGTTCACAGAACAAAAACCCACTATCATTAGAGAGCAAGGTACTCTTGGCTGGAAAGCAACTTAATCAATGGCCTACTTCCCAGGGTATGTTATGGGAAAACTATTAACATGTAGGAGAACTAGGCAGTTTTTGACATGACACTCTAGGGAGTTCATTTTCCAGATCTGTGCTCTGTAAAATCGCAAGACATAAAAGTTTATTTATGAATCATACACAAATCTGTGACAGTCTGTGAATATCCAAATTCCGACTAGGCACTGGGTTACAGGCTGAGTCAGTCAGGAAATGCCATGGCTTAACTTTAAAACTCTGGCAAACATAAGCTTGAGTTTGTACAGATGAATGTACCAGGTCTCCTGTCCTCAAACCAGGTTTATCTTCTCCTGCTCCAGTGCCTTTCAGCAACTATTTTTGAGGTCTCCACAGCACACTTGGAAACCTCTTGGTAAAATATTGAAGATAAAATGAGGAAGTTAGTAGGAGTAGAGAAAGGGAAGGAATAAAGATGATTTCAAGCACCAACTGTAAATATAGAAATCTGCAGAAGAAATAGAGATTATACAAATTAACTATCTCGGTGTGTTTTGCAGGTGTGTATTAGCACACTCTTTAGTAAAAACTTTTAGCAGTACCCCATGAGGGCCTTGCACTGGCTAATTGAATAAAAACAACTGCAGGAGATAAAGTTCTGGTTTACTAAAGGTAAATTTTCAGCTTCAAATACTAAATGAAACTGCAGATGATTTCAGAATAGCTTGGAGCATGATAACTTTGAGCTCAAATAACTTGTCTAACAGGCATTGACATGGAAACAGATGCAGCAGAACTCTGATTTAATAAAGTGGGTAACAGAGGACTCAAGAACTTCTATATTCAAAAATATTTTCAACTACAGCAAGAATTTATCAGGAGGTTCTCTTTCCAAGTGACTTGATGTGATTTATCTGAGTATAAATGACCAATGGGATTAAGGTGAGACTATGCCGACATGTTTATTCAGATCAGCTTTTGGAAGCAGCTTGTAGAGTCTGTTAAACAATTTTGTTGCTTGTTGTCTTTCAGATTGCAAAATAACCTCTCCAAAATGGACACAAAGTATACTAATTCTTACCAGGTCTATCTCATAATAAGTTGTCATCTTTTTCTTATAAAGTCCAAGAGAAAATTCAAAGCAAGAATAAAAGCTATGAAAACTTTTTACTTAAGCTAAACATAAACCTTCAGAGGCTGGAAATCTGAATGGTTAACTGTTTCCAGTTTAAGTTAAACTGCCCCACTCCTGAGACAGCTTTGATGTTTTATGAAGAATACCTAAAAAATTCCTAAAGAATCCTTCAAGTTACTCCAAAAATGAGACATCTAAAAATATGAAAAATATCTGAACAAATAGAAAGATCTGGCTTTCCATTGAGCTAAACAGAATTGCAATCCGCAAAAGAAATCATCATCCCATTAAGTAATAAAATATATGTTGACTTCAGTGAAATAGGTATTTTACCCATCCTCTACATTTAAATTATATCTAGAAATTGTTCCTCTGTAGGTCAGGTTTTAAAAACTGGGTTTTTTAAAATATAACCAAGCAATCTCTCTCAAACGCATGGGGTTTATGCATGGTAAGAGACTGTCTCAGAAATACTTCAATGTTTTATTTGTATTTGCTGAAGACAAAGTGACTTCTCCCCTCTACCTTTGAAATGCTCAGTTGCTTTTCTTCCTCACCAAAAAGTTCATATTCTCTTTGTGCCTCTGAGTTTGAGAGTGCATACAGTGAATCTGCAATGGTAGAAGACTCATGTGGTAGCTGAGCAACCATGACGTGCTGCTGGAGAAGGCTGACTCTCCCATCGAGGGAACCATCAAGTCCAGATGCAGCAACTTCCTCTGTCCTGCCAGAAGCCTGTCTTCTTTCTGAGTACTGAGGGAGGTGCAGGCTGTTGGCCTTTGTCCCAAACCACACCTGAATCTGGCTGTTTGTTTAGTACTCAACTTATGATTCAACAGCAAAATAACAAAGTTGAACTCAGTGGACTATGTCAGGACTTAGTCAGGAAGAAGACTCTGTTTCACTTGTGCTGAATTTGCTCCACCTTTCATGGGCTGGGAAAGATGGGGAGGAGGGAGAGGGAGAAAGCATCAAGCACGGTCATGCAGCTTAGTGGTTAGGACACTAAGAGGAAAATTAGAGGTCCCAGTTTGTGTGTTAGTTGCTGTTTAGCAATTAAGCCTCATGAATGACTGTTCAGTATCAATATGAAACCATTTACTGTAAGTGAGGGCTATATAGATATCATCGCCCTGTCTGGCTCCCTATAGTCCAGCAGTCTGTAAAAAATGGAATTGTTTTGTAGCTATCAGACTGGCTTAAAAGACAGTTTTTCATGTGTTGGTAAAGAGAGTTTTGTGGTGAGATAGGAGACAAAGAAAAAACTGAATCCATGTCTTCTGCTTGCCTTTGTATTGCAATCATACAGCTAGCGCAGAAAACGGAACATCCCTTCCTAAATGAGATTTTTGTGGCATAACTGAGCTTTTCCTACCCCTTTCTACTGCATATGAGGGCTGTAATTCCCTCAGAAACTGAAAACCTTTCCCTTCACAGAAATAGAGGTTAGGACAAAAAGTGGCGATGATGAAAGTTAATGCAGAGTGCTACAATGTTTACATTTTGCTACTACTTCTTTGGGATTTACCTCTCCCTTCCCATAGCTGCTGCTTCTAATCAATTCACCAACTTCTACAGGGGGCATACACTTTTCCTACTGATTTCCTACCCACCCCTCATACAGTCTGATAATCAGTCATCTCAGCGAACAGATGAATGAAATTAAAGCAATTTTGAAGTTAATACTTTTTCCCTTAAAATATAAAGAGAAGTAAATAGTACTCTTCCACAAAGCAGTGATCTCTTAAATGAGAATATTTTACTGTTGCAATATACCTGAACTTATCATTCAGAAAAAAATATCATGGGCTAAGACCCTCTTATTTGGTATCTGCAGTGAAGTAATGCGTTCAGGTTTCCACCTGGGCTCAAAAGTAATATGATACAGTTCTACTGCAAAGCAGAAAACTACTGCTCTTTGTAGCTCTCTATTTGCAATAAATTCCCCTGACATGTTATATTTAAATACTATATAATTTTTAAGCTTCAAAATAAAATATATGTTCCGTGTAAGCACTTCTCTTTCAACTCTCGATCTTAAAGCTTATGAAATATTTCTGTTCCAAGGTGCATTATTTATCACATTAGGAGAGTTGCTGAAGTTTGCAGTAACTTTGATAGCAATTACTAAAGATTAGGTCTGGGTTTTTAAACATTAATAGCAGCTAGTTTCAAATGCCCAAACTATCTGCACTCTCTGTGTCTGCATTACAAAGACAGTAGTCTATAAACAGCTGAAATTCAGTTCTTCCAATCACTTTACCACCTGTGGAGCTGTTGCTTCTTCTACAGCATCAAAAAGGAGAAAAAGAGGTATGATGAACTGCAGATGTGTTAGCACCAATCGGAAGAACATAGACATAAACCAAAAGAGGGCACTTCACAAATACTTTTACAGCTCCTTAACAACTAACAATGTTTGCAATTTTATTGATTATAAGGCACATTTTGGAAGTAATTTAATAGTCCATTATAATTAAATTATCTTCTATATTAATAAGTATTTATATTTCTACATTTATCTCCCAAAACAATGAAGAATGCAAGACTTCACAGCTTTGAAAATTGAAGGAGTGTGCCCTCCTTTGACTACAAAATAGCCCCAGGTAACTAACCTCTACAAACGTATACCTCATTCTGTGCTTAAAATGAGGGAATTAAATGAGAAAATTAAATGGGTATTAAAATGAGGACATTAACATGAGGAAAGAGAAAACCAGACCAGATACATTAAGGCCTAGATTCAGCCAGAGGTTCATGCAGCTCTTGAGATCACAGCTATCTTTTGAGGCACCTAACTCTAACAAGGAATTTTGTCAGAAAACACTGACTCGTACAAACGACCTTGAGTTTTATTACTGCTCACATAGGGTTCCTCTGAATGCTGCCAGGAATCACAGCCCAGCAGTCAGCAACTTGGTATGTTCAGGACTCACCACTGACTCCAACAGCATCTGTCTTAGGAGCAGCTCACATAATGCTCGAGAGCCCACTAAGCATCAGTGATTCTAAATAACTATTCTCATAATTGTATCCAACTAAACTACTTTGAACACTACTCAGCTTCCTAGAGGGAACAGTAAATATGGGCAAGTCAAACTATGAGGAAACTCCAGTGAAGTCCATGAGTTGAATGAATGGACCCCACTGAATTTTGTGAAATCCAACCAGTACAGGAGTAAATCCACAGAGTGCCAGAAGACATATACAGATGTTGCAGAGCAGATATTTACCTATTCAAAATCCATTAAACACAACTTCCATGGTGCATGCTTGGAAAACTATTGTTTGCTTACTGAGACTAGAAGATTGAGAAACTGAGTGGGAAAAATTACAAAAATGGAAGAAATGCACCAGAAATGGACTGGAAATTGCAAAGCCAGGTTACAATACCTCTGGAAAAAAACCTGCTGGTTTAAATACAACAGAAAATCTAAGGAATTATTTTGTATATGCATAATTAACTATTGCAAATGTCATCCAGTCCATACTGAGGGAAAATTTTTGAGAGGTTTAGAGAATTTTATATGTAAATAAAACAAGCATATTTGCAAATGCTAAAATAGTGGAAGAATCAAATCCATGTGAGTTGATTGCTCTGAAACAGAGAAGGGAATATTTTATCAATATGCAGCTCAGCATAATATCTCTAATGAATATATTTATTTTCTGAAGCAATGGGCAAACTGATACTTGGGAAAGAAAGAAATGTTTCTGTTAAAAAGGGACAAACTCTGCTTTCAATGGCCATTTCTTTACTAGTCAGTTAATATTTTTTTTTCCTATACCACTTAAGTTTTGTGGTTTGTTTTTTTTTTAATTTTATTTAAAGTAACTCTTCTTCTGCAGCTTTCAAAGACTTCTCACAGATTTTGGCAGCAGAAACTAGATATAGTCTTCAGTTCTTAGAAGTCTCAGTCATCAGCATTACTGCACCACCTTACTACCTTTTCATTAGAGTGTCTAACTTCATCTGTTCAGGTTATTTTCTTGACTCTTTCAGCATTTTCTCAGGGTAAAGACAGTAGTATTAGGTTTGCTTTGGTAACATTTTTAAAAGAATGACTATCACGATAGTGATATGAAGCAAATAGCTACATCACTGAATATCATAAAGAGTGTTAGAATGGGCTAATATAATTTCTTCTCAGCACTTGAAATTCATTCTAGTTTGGACCATCCTCTCTAGGACTGAAGCATTATCATGTAGAAAATACATGAAAAGTTAAAGATTTAAACTCCAGGGCAACTAATTCGTTCTCCTTACTACTGTTTTAGCATTAAAAAGAGTACATGCCTGTCAGAACATCAGGTGCTCCAAAAATATTTTTCTTATAACAACTGACAGAGAATTTGCTTCCTCAAAGTTGTCCTCATACCCTTGGAAAAAAATTCTGAATAAAAGAATTTTCAGTGTTCTTTTTATTTAGTACTAATCCCACTTTTAATTTTGATTTAACTTCCACATATACTTAAAAACAAAAGAAGATACTAGAAAACTCAAGATTCTAAAGGATAAGAGAAAACTGTAACATTGAAGGTTGATGTTTTCCAACAGGTATTTAACCATACATTGGATCTACACTAACCAAATAAGAAAAACATACCAGGGAGCAAAAATTATGCTTATGATAAGTATTATAGACTTGAGATTAAAAAATATGTTTCATAATGTAAAATACACAAATTTCAATCAATGTGTAAACCCATACAATCCAAATGAGAAAACTGGCCTTTGACTCTAAACAAATATCTCTGGTCAAATCCTGGTAAAAGTCCTCAGATTACATATTACCTTTCTCTCCAGCAAACTTTATCAACCCCAGTTTTACTGTTTTTTCTAACATGTTTATTGGTTGGGAAGTACTGCACAGACAGCACATCTCACCTTTTTGCCCTGAGTGGACTTCTGAAGGGAACGCCAAGCCATCAAATGAGCTGTTCTAATTATACCAATTCTTGCTTCTGATAAAGGATCTCACTGGAAGTTTCCATCCCAAATATTGAGGTAATTTAATAGCACTCATATCCCACAATTTGGCAATTGAGGACCTAAAGCCTTGTTTCTCTTGTTTCTCTTCCTTTTGAGGAAGTTTTGTGTTCACAATGAGGTGGTGTCAAAACAGAAACATTTGTACTAAAGTTGTCTGCATATTTAACTGCAGTAAGTTTTTGAACCAAACTTTGAAATTTGTTACATATTAAAAGTTAGATGCCCAATTTCCTATTTAACAATTCCAAAATAAATTTCTGATTTTGTTTCAGCTGAGTACCTCACTTATCCATTATTTTAACCTGTGTCTCCAGCAGCATCCAGCTCCTCACAGTTTGATTCCTAAGCGGCAGAGCAGATGTGCAAGACATTTACAGCAATTTGCTTAGAAGCCTATACAGTTTAAATTTACAAGGTCATAGAATAATCATTTTAGCATTATCAAGAAAAAAAATCCTTTATATAACATCATTAACATAATTTTAAGTATACTTCATTATCACAAAAAATCTTTACGCTTTTATTACAAAAGGAGATCAAATTAATCAGTATGTGTTTCAAGAAAGGAAATACTTTATCTATGACATTATTAGGATGCAAAAAATTATAGAAATATGAGAACAGCTGCATGGGATTGGATCTAATTCTGCCTAGCTCTCTACACATCAGATATCAGCAAGGGCCTAGAGTAGGGCCAACATACCATGATACTTTCGTGGCCTACTTTTCCAGCCTCAAGGGATTTGCAGGTCAGGGCCTTCCTAAACTAGAGGTCATATGGCTTTGTTTGACAGCTATTGAAGGATCTTTCTTCCTTGAATTAAGTTTGAAGTGTTTTGTTATCTACAGGTTCCTTTTAGGTGACATCAAGGACTAAGTTTAATGCACATCAGAGGGGGGCAAAAATGATGTTAAAAAGCTATTACTTGAAGACATTTCTGCCAGGCTTTAAAACACAGTGTTCTTGAAGGTTATATAATATTTTAAATAAACAGGTTTATGCCCTCAATTTTCAGGCCAAAGTATCATTCCATTACTACTGACTTTACCTTGGTATATTGCTCACGCTCATGTTCTTGGCTAGAACCAGACCCTGATGTCTGATTATAACGGTGCACTTTCATTTTCATCTGTCTCGTTCGCTCTTCCACTACTAAGCTTGCTGCAAAAACACACAATGAAGATCAATTAAAAATAGTGAAAAATTTTTGGAAAAGAACAAATGGTTTAGCAACAATTTTAGCTTATTTCCATTTTCACGAAACAAAGAAATGTACAAACATGTAGAACAAGCAGGGTGTCAGCACAGAACAAGGGAACACTAATGTCAAGAAATCAACCATTTCCATTGCGAGAGTCTTTACCTGAAAATGGGCAGACATCCCAATTCCTACACATAATCAAGCTGGTGCAACAAATATGAAAAGAGTGAAAGAATTTAGCTGATAGCTGAATTATAAACCTGTTAAATATTCTGGATGCAGGGGACATAAATCCATGATCATCTAACAATGTATTTGCTTAAATGTATAAAATATTACACTGGCATTCCAAGCACTAATCCATTGAACAGGTATTAAAATTTATTTTTAAAGTAATTAACTCCTACTACTATCTTGAAACATAACTGCTTGCCATAGCTACAGACTATTTGAGAGGAATAATATCTTCATTCAACCAGTCATATCAAAAAACCAGTATTTTTGTAGCTTTTTTTTAAACAAAAATCCTTTAAAATCACTACTTTGCTTTCAAAGGTTCACCTTTATTTCAAATAATTTATTTTTTCTTGTGTTTTAAATTTTCCTATAGCAGTGTTTTATTAAAAACAGAAGTCTTATCTTAAGCTTTCAAGAAGCTGGGGGGCTATAAAGAGCATCTTCTTCAATTCGAACAAGTTAATTAATTAACTCAATTAATTAATTAATTGTCAATTAATATTGACTGTGCCTGCCACAGGTAGATGACCTTGCACTAACAGAGAGAGTAGTGCAAAAGCCTCTGGGGGCTTATTTAAGGATTCCTTAAAATAAGTTAACCTTTGTGGTAGTGAATAAATTTCAGAGGGGACTATGTATTCTTAAATTTGGAACACTGTAAATGCAAAGCAATACTGGAACTACAATACCATGAGAACTGGCACTTTTTAACAGTTCTAGAACTAGACCCAAATATTCATCAGTAACTAAATCACAGGAGTACTCACTACGTTCATTGTGGTTTAACAGTTTTTAAGCTGGCATTTGTGGTCACATTTTTATTTGGGAAAACCTCCACAAAATCTTCTGCTTTTGGGTCAATCGCAGATTTATATTACTCTCTCCAAAACAACTACTTTTGAAAGTCAAACAGCCCACCTCAGACCAATGATGGGAGAGAGACAGCAATTTAAAAACTGCATGGAATCAACTTGCAATTACAAAATGCAGAGAATTTTAAAACAGTGGAAAATAAGTACTGTATCACATTTGTTAAAGATCTGTATTTGGAATTAAGAGGTACTGAACTTCTCATATGTGGCTTTTATGCTGTTAGTTAACTGTGGCATTCTTTACACACTTATTTTTTTGTTTGTGCTTTGCAAGCACAAAGGTACAAGGGCAAAAAAAAAAGCAGTCAGCTCAGGATTGGATATTTTAAACTGTGTCACTGCCCAAATAATGATTGTGTGCACATTTACCATCTGTAAATATGGAAATAGCAGAATATCTGTGTGCTGGTTCGTTATGAAAGAATATACAGAGACATCATTGTGAAAAGTATGTTGCTTTCACGTCCTCCTTCCACATTTCTTATTTAAAAATAGGAAAATTAAATACATCAATTTACATTAAAATTCTGCTACAACTGCAAATTTAAGGCATGGAATAAAGTTATCATAATCCTCAATCTCCCACACGCAGAGTTTAATCTATCAAATTCTGCACATGCAGAATGTCACACTGGGCCCAGCAATTTTTCCAGATGACTAATTATGTCAGTAAATGTGTACCTTAATTGCAATGAGTCCAGTTCCACCATCAGATATGCAGGCACAGCTCCAATTACTTCAATGGAAGTTGCATGGAGGTATCTGAAGGCAAAATTGAGCACTTTAGGTGAAATTTTTAAAGATGGCCTCGTATTTTAAGGACAGATATGAAAGGATTAAGATATATCAATTAGGGAGTGGAGTAAAAAATTTGATATCTTAATCCTGTCATACATGCATGAAATAGACTGAGGATATGAAATCAGAGGGAAAAATGAGACCCCTTTAAAAATTTAGCCCTATTTGTGTATGGTGCACAGATCAGAGTTACTCTAAAAAAATCACTCTTTCATTGTGTGAATTTTAGGTGCTTTACCCTGTCAACTGTATGTTATACTAAAGAATGTGTATGATATAATGTTAGTCTGTATTAGTTATGATGCCTGAGAAAGAATATTCTATTATGTGATGAAATGCTGTTTCAGAGATTATTAATGAAGTCAAGATTGGGTAAATCAACTTCAGTTCTGTAATTCTTGATTTTTTGTTATGTTTAAATCCTCAATCTTAACACATTTATGTTCTGGTTTTCATTGTTAGATATCATTATATAAAATAACATGAGAACAATTAATGGGGACTGTGAAGTAAATCTAAATTCTCTAATGGAGAAATTTGGGCTTGTGCATGGAGTAAAACGGAATTTAGCACCAATTGGCTGTTAATTTATTTCTAAGCATGCAATTATATGAAACATTAAGTCTGCTCTAGAAAATACAGCTGTGTTCTTTTTAGCTTTGTTTACCAAGTACATCTGAGCATATGTCGTAGCTCAGTTCTGTGATGGAAAATTTCATCTGCCTGACAAGTAGCCCAGTATAACCTTTACATGTTAATCACAAGAAGCAGAAAAAAATCTAACACGGTAGCAAAAGCACAATAGGAAAACTGCAACAACCATAGGTAACAACACCATATGATCACATTACTTTCTTGGAACACAGCTGGTTACCACAGGTAACAAAAACTTGACACAAAAAATACTTCAAGAACTTAGCCTGCCTCTTAGAAAAAAAGGGTATACTTTCTTTTAGGGCATCAGTATTTACAGAGGGCTTTTCCTAGAGGTCTTTAGAGATAAGACTACACATTAATTTACAGATCAAAGCACTGTAATCCTAAAACCTTTAAATTGTACAGTGGCCATAGAAATTACAAACATGGAGATTTACCATAAGGATCTCAAATTAATGGTGTAACTACAACTACTACAGTTTTGTCAGCATCTTACTCTCTGGTGTCAGAAGTTATGCTGCAAAGAGCTATAACTCTGACCTTTTCAAGAGCTGATGATTCAGATGTGAGATCAATCAGTATAAGAAGTAATTGAAAAAAGAGTACTCATTGATCAGACCACTTAAATAAGGGGTCAGAGTTTATAGCCAAAGATTTTACTACTATTAAATCATGCGAAGTTTGTAAGACAATAATGTACATAAAGAATCAAGCCATGCGGGAGAGAAAAGACAGACATAGGAATGGAATCAACATGTTGTATTTGAATTCCATTAATCTATTTATAAACCAGTCTGACTCCTGTAATCCCAGGTGTACTGGGTCTGACTGGGATGGAGGCAATTTGCTTCACAGCTGCCTGCGTGGTGCCAAGGTTTAGAGTTGCGACTAAGTGTTGATAACACACTGATGTTTCAGCAATTCCTGGGCAGGGCTTGCATAGCACTCTATTTCTCATGCTGCAACCCACCATACAGTCCAGGCTCCCCACAGCCCCAAGTAGGTTGTGAGAGGAGACAGGTGGGACAGCTGACCCTAATTGACCAAAGGGACATTCCATGTCATATAGTTCCATCAGCAGCAGCAAGAAAACTGGGGGTAATATAAAATACGCAAGTCCATAATACACTACTTAAAAGAAGTAGGGAATAAACTAAAGAAAATAGCTACAGATCTCATTTTCAGCCTACTATCTAACTTCAGAGAAAATTAGGACTAGCTAACAGTTGTTTTTTCTTAAAGGAGAGAGACACAATCTTTCTAACACTTTATCTATTTACTAAGACTTTATGTACTAGTAATACACTTTTTAATATGTGAGCACTATGGTAAGATTTATAGTTACATCTGAAGGCATTAACTAGTTGACAGCCCTCATTTTTATTCCTATCCTCAGAAAACTAGTATGGGCATGTTTCAACCCCTATCTGCTGTTTAACTGATAGAGAAGTCAGACCTGGCTAGAATCCTAACTGTTCAGAATACATGCCACCTTTTCAATTATGTACAAAATAACACAACAATAATACTACAAAAACAATATACTATACTGATGTATTAAATGTAGTAGGGCAGATAACATTTTTCTTTTTTTTTTAATAAAACTATTGTAGACAGAAGGTATCATATGGCACATTTCTGTTATCCACAGAATGTGAATCTAACCATTCAAGAAATGTGATTTTAAAAGAAATTAAATTTGCATTAGCATCAACAATAGACCAATTCTATGAAAATTAATGAGAGCTAAAAAGCAGCACTAACAACAGCGACCAGCACAAAAGAAACTGAAGTATTTTTTAGGCCTAAACTTCTCTATTTAAGGTTTGAAAGGGGGTCGAAACTTTAAGAAATTACAAAATTTCTTAAATGTCATGATGCTATAAACAACCATCCATTAAGCTGATAGCATAATGTATGAAAACTATGTGGGATCGTTTAAATAAGGATTGTACACAGGCAGGAATACTGAACTAGCAAGCAACAGTAAAAATCCTATACCTGCCTTTCTAGCTCTAGTTTTTAATTCCTGAGCTTTAACTGTTTAGGTATCCACTTCTTTCATATTACAACAATCATCAAAGAGACTCTACATTCTGCAGACTTTGGAAAACAGTGACTCTTGTCAATAAATAACATCTAAAAAGAACCCACTCATACACTTGACAAAAAAGGTTGATAAAGTCAGATAAGTATTAACACATACGTTTAAAAAGTCAGGTGATTAAGCATAGGAACAGTTTTCCATCACTTGCAGTATTAAGTGAAAGTGTCTAAAAGGACATTCTTGTTCAAACCCAAGCATGGGTTTAATGCCAGAATGACTGGTGACACTATCTGGTCTGTGATTAAAACTGATAATCATACTTGTCTTTTCTAGACTACAGAAAACCTAT